AGCCTAAGGGCAGAAGGGCCAGCCAGCCAGGATATCAGGGTAGGCAGCCCGGCTGGGGGCAGCACAAGACCAGGGCCTGAGCTCCACAGCAGCATCCAGCACCCCCTGGGAGGGCAGGGCTGAGTCCAGAGCCCTGTGGCCACACGGGGCAGAGTCCCTGCAGCAACCCCTAGGAGCATGGGGCTGAGACCAGAGACCCATGGCTTCCCCTAGTTGCTTGGGGCTAGGGCTGGAGCTGCTGTTGGCTAGGGCACCAACCCCGCAGCTGCCCCCCTACGCATGGGACTGGAACATCGTGGCATGAACTGGAGCCTGTGCTGCCCAGGGAGCCAGCAGTAGCCAGGTTGGGGTGGAGAAGGGTGAGGCAGGGTTCCCTGCTGGGACAGCCTGCCAGTAGCAGGTAATGAGCTTGGGGGCCAGTGGCAGGAGACCTCCTCTGATCCGGCAAATTCTCTTGTTGCCCAACGATGCCAGCCCAGGGAGGTCCAACCTGTAGTAAATTTAACCTGGATCCATAGTCCAGGAGCAGACTGGACTTTACTCTCAGAAGGGAAGCTGCTTTCTGACTTTATAAAAAGGGCATTGACAAAACATTTCCTAGTGGATTATCTTACATGACATGCTACTGCAGCTATAGGAAAATCTGGAAATAGAAACAAAACTGAAAATGGTAGGCATAATTTCAAAAGAAAATCCATGCAGCTTATTTCAGATCCATTTTACAAAATGGGGTTACTTACCTGTAACTGGAGGCTCTTCAAGATGCACAGTCCCTATCGGTATTGCACATGTGGGTATACATGTGCCGCATGTGCGTGAGACCAGAATTTCTTCCATGTAGTATCTGCTGGCCTGCACCTGTACCTTGGGTCTTCTTGTGCTCAGTATCAAGAGTATAAGGGGAGTTATGGACCAACTGTCTCTTCAGTTCCTTCTCTACCATGAATGTAGTCATGATTCAAAGTAGAGGGGAAGAGGGTAGGTTGTGGACTACAGATAGGGGCCATGCATCTCAAAGAACCTGCAATTACAGGTAAGCAACCCCCATTTCTTCTTTGAGTGCTAGTTCTTATATATGTTCCACACTGGGGTGACTGAGAAGCAGTAATCAAATATCATACTGTGAGGATGTGCAATTCTAATAGTTGTGTTGGCAGAAGAAGCCTGTACCAAAGCATAATGCTTTATGAAAGCGTGGATGGAATTCCAGGAATTCCAGGCCTTACAAATCTTCACCACTTTTCAAAGAGTTGCTACTGAGATTGCCTATGCACTAGTGGAATGGGCCCTCAGCCCATCCAGGGGAGGTAAATGTGCTGACAGCAAAGGAAGATACAGGGAAAAATCCACTCAGAGAGGCTCTGAGCAGATACCATTTGTCCCTGTATTCACATTGCTATAATAACAAATAGTCTCGGTGATTTTCTAAACAGATTTGTTCTTTTAAGATAGAACACCAATGCTCATCTGACACAGAAGATAAAGCTGTTATTCTCACTGGAGGCATAAGGCTTCAGGAAAAACAGGAGTAAGTGAACTGATTGGGTAATGTGGAACCTGGAAATTACATTCAGCATGAACTTTGTATGGAGGTGTAAGGATACCTTCTCTTTATAAAATGTGTTGTGTGGCAGGTCGGCCAGGAGAGCTCTCAGTTCACCCGCCCTCCTGGCCAATGTAATGGCAACCACAGAGGCAACCTTTAACATAGCAGGTGGTGTCCAATAGTTTCAAAAGTGGCCCAGTAAGTGCTGAAAGTATGAGATTGTGACTTTGGTTTCACTGCTGGTGAAAAGATACAAGTCTGGCCCTTTAGGAATCTATTTGTTCCTGGATGAGCAAAAACAGAATAGCCATCCACTGGAGAGTGGAATGCACTAACTGCTGCTATGTGGACCTGTAGCAAGCTAACAGAAAGGCCCAAATGCAATGGCCTTGAAAGTGAAGAGGTAGAT